TTTTTTAAAAAAAGAAATGGACTTTGGAGGCAAGGAAAAAGCAGACTGGAGGTAAAAAGATGTATTAGGAGATGCCTATAAAAACCGAAGTCCTCACTACCTAGTGTGGTCCACTGACCACCAGCATGGACGTCTCTTGGGAAGTTGTTAGAAATGCAGATCTCAGGCCCCGCACAAGACTTCCTATATCACAACCAGCTCCAGACAACCCTTTACATACTGAGAAGCTGGGCTTTGGGTGGAAGACAGTCCTGGCCTGATCTGCCTTTGGGGAGTGGGAGATAGGACTGATTCATCAGTGCCCCCCCCCCCCAACACCCCACCAAAATCCACAACTGCAGACATGTGCAGGGTGCCAGAAGCAAGCCCTGTGACTACAAACTATCTCAAACTGATTCCATCAGAGGTCAGGGACAGTAGGGGAAGGGGCAAGGGTAGGTATGCTGAGCCAAGTGGGCTCTTTAACCAGGATGTACTGACTGTGACCCTGGGCAGAAAAGCTCTAATTCCCAGGGCAGGTCTGAGGTTGAGGATGTAAGGATTCTTGACTCTGGCTGTGAAGATGGGTGAACTTTTTGTACTGCCACAGTAAGTTTCCCGAGCATCTGGCACAGAGTGTGGCACATAAAAAGGGCCCAAATGATACTTGTTGAAAGAACAAACAAGCGGTCAAATAGTAAGGATGATATCGAGGTCCTAAAGCAGATTACATGGACCTGCATATAAGCAAGACCTACCTTCTGGCTTCCTGTTTAGCTATGCATATTCCCTTTAGTTAGAAAAATGTGAGAATCTAAAAGAATAAAACTCTGCTTTCAGCGAACAAAAAATATATGGTCTGTGCAAAGGGAATCCGCAGGAACGCACGGCATTGCCTCGCAATAACCCAAATCAGCTTCTGGGTACAGTAGGCAGTGAGGGCCCTCCCAGGCCTGGGGGGATCTCCACAGGGTAGATGGTGAGGGGATCACAGGAACAGAAGCTGTCAGCTGTGTGTGCAGAGGGTGAGGGACCGAGAGGGATCTAGCAGAAAGGCCCAAGCTCAAGAACTGTAGGCGGTGTGGCCACAAGTGCCCAAGGTGTGGGTGACAGCCACTCTCTTTAGACCCAGAATCCATCCCCAAGTGAGCCTCATACAGACAACAGGAGGAGAGAGAAAAGGGCTGGAGCTTCAGCTGCAGGAGATGGGCAGACACGAGCTACAGCAAACTCCAGAGACACCCATCGGCTGAGCTCTATGACTCACATCTTTGGAACAGCTTGCTACCTCACCTTCTCCAGGAAGCCTGCCTAGACTGACTTCAGGATCACAGGCCATTCTCACAATGATCCTTTCCCCATGGTTCTTGATCACTCCAGTTACATGGGAGGTAGGTAACATTTTTATCTGGTCTCTTTGGCTCGAGAGTTTATTCACGCGGCAGCTTCTTGAGGGCAAGGCCCAAAGCCCAACAAAACTAGGGATTCACAGGCCCTACTTTTGGCACAGAGACTTGTCAGAACAGGCAGGCGTGGGATATTCTGGATGACAGAAAAGACAACAGAGATGACTGACCTTGGAAGTGTAGGTGTGGCCATCGGAGCCGCAGACCATGGCTGACTGTGCGGCGGGGCAGGGCTTGCACTTCACCAGATTCGAAGGTCCAACCCAGTGTTTGTGGGCCACGTTTCCCTTCTTTTGCCTAAGGATGGAAAAAGAGGGGATAAATTCACTGAAGATCCGGCTCCCATGGGTCTCACCCGCAGGGTACCTGGACAAAGGCCAACCGAATAAACAAAAGCGGTGGTCAAACAGCCCGGCGCAACCCGGAGGCCTTTGCTGGTGTTCCCGTTTGAACCAACGTGCTGACAAGGGCAAGAGATTCTGTTCCAAAAGCCCAGGTTCAACCCACCAGACATACCAAGGACAACAATGTGGCCATTAAAAATAATGGAAAACATGACTTGGTTACACGAAAAGACATTCACAACACATTGAAAGAAACAAAGAGGGAGTGGCCCCATTAGCTCACTGAGACCCCAGTACAGCATGTGGCACATCATGGATGACCCAGAAACAGCACCCCAGAGCTTCACAGTCCTCCGGGGCTGATGGAGAGCCTTCCCAGCTGGCTAACACACAGACAAGTCAGAGAGCAGTTTAGATAGAAACACATCTCCAAACGCAAGCAAATGACTTTATCGCAGCAGTGGAAAACGATCTCTGGATACATTTTGAAGCAATTCTGGTCCAGCTTCCAATTTGCCATTCTATAGAGGCTCTGATGTGATGTCACTTTCAACTGCTAAAATAATCAGAATTCTACTCTTCCATTCTGGCTCTGGTTTCCTCCATCCTAACCTGTGTCATAATGATAAATGGTGCTATTAGGATGGCTTATGTCCACGGAAGGAACCCCATCCCTGAATCATAAACCACTGAAAGAAAGGCCTGCAGTGATTGCCTCCTTTTTCCCCATGGTCTCTACTGTCCTAGCAAACTGCTGGGAGTAACTCTCATGCCTACGTGGCGAGTTCTAGGGGGAGGATAAGTGACTGTGGATGGACCATCCATCAGGTGATTATGGTGTCCTTCAAGTGCTTTGCCTTTGGAAGTCTTGCCTGGAGGCTAACATTTGGGCCCTGGAGTCAGAAAACATAAGTGCAAATCTCAGCTCTGCCACTAGCTCACTGTGTGATCTTGGCAGGACATTGAACCCTGGAACTGTAAGTCTGTCTCAGTTTCCTCATCTATACAATGGAGGAAAATAGAATCTACTTCAAGCCGGTGCTATGAAGATTAAATGAGGTGATGTACATACTCAGTCTAACGCCTAAAAAAACACAAAGCAAGAAAAAAGGCAGCTATCACTATAATTCTTATTTGCCCCAATAACAAATGGGCGTGTAGAGGATGAAATTACCAATGCCTTAGAAATGTGACTTCATTCTAAGGCCCTAGGGTTGGAACGTCATTTAATCCCCTGGGAGAACTCATGGGGCCACAGAAGAAAATCTTTTCAATCAGGCATGGAATAAATCTCCAGCTCATTACGAATTTGGGTTTGGGGTGTGAGGTAATCCACATTCTTCCAAACGAAGGAAAGTGACCTAGGAAAAGCACCCACCAACTTGGTTCTTATTCAATCTCAGACCTTCCCTAGGAATATGGGGGAGGCTGTAAAAGGAGGAAGGTCTGTTTGAGAAATTACCTTTGAGGTTGGCCAGGTACCCGCAGCCAAACCCTTGAGGCCATCAGGGATCCCAGGCTGGATGGGCCACAAGGCTGGGCCTGTCTGACCAATAAACTGACGAAGGAGGTCCTATAGGGATGCTATAAGATCACCTAGTCCAGTTTACTCATGTTACTAATGATGGGAAGTGAAGCCCAAGTTGGGCAAGAGCCTTGCCCAAAGTCAGGAAGATAACTGGTGGCCAGGCCTATGATGACGTTCGTACAGCTGCACAGTGGCCAAGGATGAATCTCTTCTTCAGCCCACGCCAGTCATGCCTAGATTACGAACTTGAAATTTCTTTGGGGGCACCTATGTGTTTGTCACTTGTGGTCCTCTCTCCAATGCCTCCCTGTTTCTGTAGCAGGTACCTACCTTGTCCTTGCCTCTCTGTCTGGAAAAAAAAATTGCATTTCTAATTCATATGGACATGATTACCTATTACCCTTTGCCAAACATACTTTACTCATTCAAGGTTTGTTCTGGACTTGAGAGAAAGGGATGATGGCTGATGGGACTCCACGTAGCGGACAAGCAGGCTGTCAGCACGGGGTTAACGTGAGAGCCCATGAGTCCTTCAGCAGAACACCACACATTTATCATCATTCACACAGCAGACTGTCTGACACTGATGAAGAATCAACAAATATACGCAGCAGTTCTGGCATCTGGCAGGCCCTCTCCTGGGCTGGTCCCCAGTGTGCATGCCCACTGCTGAAACAATTCTTGTGATGAGTTCCCAGAAAGGGGCTATAAAATCCAAAGAGCGGGCAGCTTTGCTGGAGCAGACATCACCACGTGCGATGATGCCACATAGGAAAGGAGCTGAGCCAAAGGGAGAGGAGGGAGAAGTAAATGCGGAGCTGAGCCAATGGCTTTGAGAAAAAGATGGAATCATGTACTATCAGTTAATGACAGATCATGCCTGGTGGACCTGAACTTCACCATTAAACCAAGTTCACTGTGGGAACACAAAGAGATAGGGCTGGCTTGTGCTTACCAGCAGGCCTGGTGCAGCATGAGTGCTCCATATATGCCTGTGGGGTGAGGGGGTGGGTCTCTATGTGCCGACCAATGCCATGGTTTCTCAGAAGTGAATCACAAAATAGCAGACTATCAGAAACACAAAACACCTTAAAACTAATCTAACCTAAGAACTCTAATTTATAAATGAGGAATTAGACACAAACAGGCAATGACTTGGCCAGTGTGACACAGAAATAGAGCAAAGCTACCTCACATACACTTGTAGGAACAAGGCTATCCTAGAAATGACTAAATACGGCTCTGGGACCATTTAAATTCTTATTTTGGCATCTTTAGTTTCATCACTAGGCTCAGTTTTATAAATAAAGCTTCTCTGAAACATTGCCCCTGGCTCTACACCTGCAAAGAAGCAAGCTGAACACACCCAACGTCTGGTGGTCATCGAGGTACCATGTTTGACCTCTCCGAGGATGCCTCAGGGACTAGAGCCCAACCGGACCTAAATTTTCACAGTTCCAATGAAACAAGAATACCTGTTATATCAGAGCAAACTCGGATGTTCTTTACCTCCCTGGGACTCCAGTGGAAATGGCACCCAAACCTCTGGTCTGCATCCAGAGACCATATTATATGAAGTTATGGGCAAGTATATGTGAATCCATGGAGGCATAACTTCCCTGGCTGTTGTGTATATTTTAACCCCCACAGTTCAGTAAAGACCCTAAAAATTAACCAACCCAGCCGATGCAGGGGACCAACTCTTCTGACTTTAACATATTTTACTTCTTGAGTCAAAGAATGAAATCCTACGAAGGATCTTGAAGGCATTGCTATACCCAGTGTCATAGACATTTATTACCTGGGGTGACACAAGCAATTTAATCTAGAAAGCAGGTCCTACCAGCCTTTCAAATGGCCATGAAGCCCTAACTCCATCCTGGCCTAGCTGGTGCTAGGGACAGCCACACTTCCTACCCTACTGACAGCACCACAAAGAAAATCCCAACCTACAAGCACCCTATGAAGGAGAGAAGACAGCCAACTGGAAGGTCACAGGCATTTCTTATTTTCTTGGGCTTAACTATTTATTCTTAATCTTTTTTTAAGATTACCAAAATTTCCAGCATTTATGTTTCTGAAGCAGAGTGATTCTTAAGTACAAATCTGATGATGTGACCCCTATACTTAGAACCTCTATCTTTGCCTCACCTCCTAGAGCACAGTCTGATTTCCTAGTTTTTGGTATTAAACTGACTGAGCCTACCTTTACAGGGTCAATATCTGCTTTTCTCCCCTCTCCAATACATACACACACCCCTACACACACACGTACACATGGACCACTACCACCAAGTATTTTTGTTCCAACCCCCCTCTACTGTTTCCCAGAGCCCACCAAGGATCTTCGTGTCCCTGGACCAGCATGTGGGCTTTTTCTCAGTCTGACTCGTCTTCTTTACGAACCCACACTTCTCCCCTCCATCCTCTCTGCCTCCATAAGGCTTTCTTCAAGGCCCCACCTAAAACCCCCCTCCCCCAGGAAGTCTTGTAGGGCTCCTCCACAGGCAGCCAGGCTGCACGCCCATGCCACCATGGTCCTATGAACACGCCTGCTCAGGCTCCCGACTAGTCTCTAAGGGAGAACATTGCTTCAACTTAACCAAATTATTAGAGTTATTCTGACAGAATATGGTGTATGCTCAGGCTAAAAGCCTTGGAGCCCATCCTGGACATCTCCCTTTTCTGCCCTCACCACTTTCCCCCATCATTCAGTCCTACTGATCCAACAGCAGCCAGCCATATGAGCCTCTTACAGGTTTCTTTCATGTGCCATGCAAATTCAAGTCTATATGCCTGGGCAAATGCTTTTTGCCTGCATGGCACATGTCTGCCCCTCGTTCAAGGTTCAAATCAACTACCTTTCATGAAGTATCTCCTGATCCTGTGAGTTCTACCTCAAGCAGAATCGACCATGACATCATTTGTTCCAACATTACACCTTGTTCAGATGCAACTGTGACATTCACTGTAGCATAAGTCTCTCTTTTTGAGTCTCTCTTCCTCAATATAGTATTCACTCCTCAAGGGTAGTGACTACATCTCATCATTTTTATGCTCCTGGGTTGGAAACATGGGCAAACCCCAACACATGACTTTTTTCAGTGAAATAAGTGAATTTATTAATCTGGACCTTTAGAACTTTCTCTTTTAATATCTGGACATTATTATCACTAATGAGAACACAAACATATGATGTGGTTTTAAACAACAAGAATTCAACAGACTTAGACATCCTAAGTCAGGGTTGCCTGGGTGGCCCAGATGGCTGAGCATCCAATTCTTGATTTCAGCTCAGGTCATGATCTCACAGTTCTTTAGTTCAAGCCCCATGATGGGCTCTGTGCTATCAGTGCAGAGCCTGCTTGGGACTCTCTGTCTCCCTTTCTCTCTCTGTCTCCCACCTGCATGTGCTCTCTCTCTCT